GACCCCTCCTTGGGTTTCCGAGGCAGTATCACTACGGAAGTAGGATTGCCCAACCTTTCTTCCGAGGAGTGGCTGGTAGGTTTGAACCGCCAGCCTTCTGGTGAACAGTCAAGTGCCTTAGGCACTATGCTACCAGAGCTCCTTTGGCATATAGTAGGCACTCAGAAATATTTCTGGAAAGAATGCAGTCAAGTGGTGAGACTGAATGACACCAACAAGAACTTGCTTATACAAGACTCATTTTCCTTCATACTCTGGCTAGTGTTTACTGTGTCTTCAGATTTTATTTAGCAGAGTGCCCAAAGTGCCATATTAGAAACACCTTCTGACCCTCCAATCTGAATGTAGGGGATATGTCTTTATTGTCATGTTTGAAATGTCCCCATGGCAAACTCTCTGGTCCGCTATCTTAGCAGTTATCAATGGTACTGCACTTGCCTCCCTCCCTCCCCCCATGTCTCTCTCAATTGTTTGTGAGGACCGTCAGATTGGGACATCTCCCTTTTTTTTTTTTCTTTTATTGTGATTTAGGTAAAAGTTTACAGAGCAAATTCATTTTCCAGACAATGGTTCATACGCATGTTGTTTCATGACACTGATTGCAATGCCAGTAACCTAAGGTTGGGACATCTCTTGTTGATCATTCTATCTCTGTCACCTAGCACAGGCTTGACAACGTTGCTTATTGAAAGAAAGTATTCACAGGATGATAATGCGACATCCAATGACAATGTTGTGTTGTTGTTATTTGCTGTGGAGTCGGGCCTGACTCATAGTGACCTCTCCTTGGGTTTCCGAGGTGGTATCACTACGGAAGTAGATTGCCCAACCTTCCTTCCGAGAAGTGGCTGCTGGGTTTGACCACCAGCTTTCTGGTTAGCAGTCCAGTGCCTTAGGCAGTGTGCTACCAGAGGTTCCTGGAATGACAATATGAGCTCCCAATCCCAACCATGGAAGCCTGTGGCCATGCTTTTAGGAAAAAACCTCCACGACCCTATTGTGTGCTTTCCAGTTGATTCTGACACACACACACAGAGCAACCCTATAGGATAGAGAACAGCTGCCCCATTGGGTTTCCCAGGCTGTAATCTTAAAGGGGCTAAGGGGGCTGTTGTGGCACAATGGTTAAAAAGCATTGGGCTGCTAGCCAAAAGGTCGGCGGTTCAAACCCACCAGCCGCCCCAGGGGAGACAGATGAGGCAGTCTGCTTCCTTAAGGACTGACAGTCTTGGAAAGCTGAAGAGGCAGTTCTACTCGGTCCTATCGGGTCGCTATGACTGATGGCAATGGGTTTGCTTTGTGGTTTTTGGAGTCTTTTCTCAGGGAGCTGCTGCTGGTGGACTTGACCTGTCACCCTTTGAGCAGTGGAGCTCTTAACCACTGTCCCACCAGGGCTCCTTTATCCTGATGCTATTACTGTAGACTTGCGCTCACTGACTTCTAATCGCATTTTAAGCCCTAGATGGGCAGGACTGTACTGTCACCCAAGCACAGGGTCAGGGTGTCAGTAAGTGTTGAGAACTGAGCTTTGGTGTATGAGCTGTGTAAGCTGCTGACAGGCTGCTCCACGTCTCGGGGTCGGGGTGAGGGCACCCATCCCCCGACTTCAGCTGCAGGGCCAGGCCCTCAGCTTTCCTCTCAGGAGAGCCTCAGCCCAGCTCGTCCACACCTCAGGGTGGACCTCGGCCCCTAGCACCCCTCAGCACAGACACCCTACTGTGGGATTCCCCTCCTGGTAGGCGGGGCCCCCTCCAAGGCATCCCCTCCCCACAGGTGCCGCCTCAATCTCCCCCATCGCCGTCCCCTCAGACCGCACTTCCGGTCGGCGCCCCCTCCCCTCAGACCGAACTTCCGGCGGCGCCCCCTCCCCGCAGGCGGGACTTCCGGCCGGCGCCCCCTCCCTCCGTGGCGTCGTGCGCAGCTCCCGCCGTCGCGAGCGTGCGCGTGTCCTGAGCCCTCCTGGCCCGGCTGCGGTTCAGCCTCGGGGCGTGCTTCTGCAGCGGCGGCGTCGGGGCCTGGCAGGCGGGCCCCTCCTCCGCGTCCTCCTGCTCTCGGGCCTCGGCGACAGCTGCGAGCGGCAAGATGGCGGCGCCCAGACTGCCTCCGGCCCGGCTGTCCGGCGTCATGGTGCCCGCGCCCATCCAGGACCTGGAGGCCCTCCGCGCGCTGACTGCGCTCTTCAAGGAGCAGCGCAATCGGTAATGGCCGGGCCAGGCGAGCGGGCGGGCCGGGAGGCC